GAGAGAGGTCCGGTCCCATGCCGGTTTTCCATGCCCTCGCTCCGGGCAGAGCCTAGAGGCACACGGGCCGGTTTGATGGGAAGCAGGAGAAAGGCTCTGGCTTTGAGGACGGATGGGATTCCACTCTCCGCTTGTTCCTGACACAGGAGGAGTTGTCCGGTTTCCCCCCCAGCGTGTCCCATCGTGTCTTTTATGTGAGCATCTTCAGCTCTCATTTTTGCTTGGTGTTTTTGCTGTGCACGTGTTTTCCTGGTGTCCAGGCCGCTTGTTTGCAGTGCAGTAGGGTGGTGTTTTTGGACAAGCAGCCCGCTCTGTAATCGCCTCATTCTTCGAGGTCTGCTTCAGAGTGGCCCATAGCAACAGTGTGGTGCAGCTGGGGCTGTTGCTTGGGGTTATGGCGGGGTCCGGCAGGGCAGTGGAACAGGGCGGTAGGGGCAGACGTGATCATGGGGCACAGCTGCACACTCAGAAACGGCGCACACGTTCGGACGTCCACTCCTGTGGAGAGCGGTCAGTTCTACCGAACCACACACTGGCCTTCAGAAAGGCCTCGTGACCCATAACGCTGCCCACACACGCTTCCGGACGAACAACTCGCCCACCGAGGTGACCCCAGGGTGGGGTCGAGTGGTCATACACCAACGCGGGATTCTTTTTGGCCCCCCCAGATCAATGATTCAAACACTGGTTCACATGCACGCACACACACATGCATGCACGCACGCACACGCGCACACACACCCTCACGCGCTCAGGTGAAGCTGAGGTACAGACACTCCTACACACACGCAGTCCCTGCCGTGGTGCTCATGGCACTGAGCTCCTCCCCCGCTCTGCTCTCACTGGCCGGCGTCCAGTGCCTGAGCCGCCAGCTGTCCCCCCAATTGGCCGGTTCATCTGTCTGCATCGCAGGGTCCCGCCTCCGCAGCGAGAGTCATCCAGGCGGCTGGCGGTCGACGCGGACACACATTCTGTGAGCAATGCCCCCCCCACCCCACCACGCACACACACAAAACACGATGCAGCTCGTCCTCTTGTAGGGCACAACCACAGTGCGAATCAGGTCTCAGCCCGTAATACCGCCGTGCACAGTTAATGATGCCATCCGAGCTTCTCCATCCGGGTTCTGGTGCTCTCTGTCGTTGTTGTGCTTTTTGGGCCGGTGCAGCCCGTTGTGGCCCTCGGCTGTGTTTCAGCGCCGCAGCGCGAGGTCAGCTCTGGAGTCGCTGCAGGGTGCTCGTGCAGCAGCAGCTCTCCAGAGCTTCGAGAGGCTGGCGAGCGAGAGGGCAGGCGCACAGAGAGGGGGCCTGGCTCATTCTGACACGCGCCTCATCCTCACTGATCTGCAACAGCGGCTTCGGCGCGACAGGCTGGTCCTCAGTTTCAGTACTGGACGTGGCAGTGGTGGACAGAGGGTCACTGAAGACTGAACGCCACAGAGCCACGTGTATTACCCATGACTGAAGACTCAGGGCAGCGCATAACTGGGCATTACATTAACGTAGATGACTCAGTACCGAGGATGGCTCATTACTGAAGACTGCACAACACCGAAGACAGCGCATTACTGGGCTTTACATTACCGAAGACAGCAGATTACAGGAGACAGCACATTACTGAAGAATACTCATTGCTGAAGACAGTGCTTTACTGGGCAACATAGTACTGAAGACAGCACATTACTGGGCAACACATTAAGCAATATAGCCCAGTACTGAAGACAGCACATTACTGGGCAACAAGTTACGCAATATGGCGCAGTACTGAGGACAGTGCATTACTGGACAACATATTACTGAAGACAGTGCATTACAAAAGATAATGCATTACTGAGGACAGCAAATTATAGGGCATTCAATTAACACAAATAGCTCATTACTGAAGACAGCACATTACTGGGTATTATACTACTGAAGACAGAGCATTTGTATATATAGCACATTACTGAAGACTGTGCATTACTGAAGACAACACATTACTGGGCAACATATTATGAAATATAGTGCAGTTCTAAAGACAGCACATTACTGAAGACAGTGCAGTACTGAAGACAGCACATTACTCAGCATTACATTACTGCATTTGTAAATATAGCATATTACTAAGACAGTGCATTACTGAAGACGGAGCATTACTGAAGAAAACTCGTTACTGAAGACAGTTCTTTACTGGGTAACGCAGTCCTGAAGAGAGCACATTACAGAAGACAAAACATTACTAGAAGACAGTGCATTTCTGAGGACAGCATATTACTGAAGATAGCACATTACTGGGTAACACATTATTGAAGACAGTACATTTCAGAAAAAGTACATTACTAGAAGACATTACTGAAGACAGTGCATTTCTGAGGACAGCACATTACTGAAGACAGCACATTACTGAGCAACACATTACTTAATATAGTGCATTACTGAAGACAGTGCATTACTGCAGACAGTGCACTACAGAAGACAGCACAGCCTGACTTGGTCTGGGCCGATCATGTTGCATCATGGGTTCCTGAGATGGTTCCTGTCGCTCAGAGGGAGGAAACATTACTGCCGGATAAGAGCGGCTCACAGGAACTAGAAGTGCTCTGATGGCAAAGAGCGGGCGAGAGTTTAAGACACAGTGGGGTGGATTAGTTGATGAGGGCTGCTTACTTGCAGTTCTAGTCCCACGTGATCCCATCAGTCAACGGTGCAAAATGGCAGGACCCACAGAGAGGCTGGAGAGGAGTTACTGAGAAACTGAAGGGCTCTTCTAGGCTCTGCAGAGACGCTGGCTCTACAGTTTGCTGGCGGATGCTCCTGCCCAGACTGTGGTGGCAGAAGGGTCAGGGACGCGGGAAGGCTTTTTCCATGCACACCCTGAAGTAAGGCACGACTAGAGGAAGAGCTTTTCCCAGTCTGCGTACTTCTCAGCATCTGTGCTGCTTCTCTGGAGGGACTCCATGTCTGACTAGCAGTGTGGATGAGAGGCGAGAAGCTCAGCCTGTGTGGGCGCCTGGCCCGTAAATCAGAGAGGTGCGAGCTGGGAGCTGCCAGGGGACACGCAGAGCTTCATTCCACAGTGAGAAGCCCGCAGCAGAAAACAACAACAGCCCATTTATCTGTGTTCTGTACTTTGACTATTCAGCGTGGAATTAACCTCTGCTTGTCCCTGTGTGATGTATAGATTTGTAACGGCGTATTGAAGTTAGAGGTGGGGAGATTAGGGATGTATGTTTGCTGTATAGAGGGAGGACAATTAAAATGTCAGCTGTAGTGCTGTGTGAGTGGCGATTAGCCGGGCTCCTGTGCCCTCTCCCTGACGCTGAAGTCAGCTGTCTCATTATGCAGGCTTGCAGACGTGTACGTTTCTGCTCAGAGAGTGGGCGTGCAAGCGTGAGAGCAAACATTTCCGTGTGTGTGTGCACGCACACACTTGTGTGCTCTGGTCAGCATGGGTCCAGGGATGGAGATAAGGATGGAGATAAGATTGCTGCTGGGGGGTTCATAGTTTACCAGCTGCAGGGTCTCGGGACATGGGATGTTTTGTGCTCTAAAGTTATTCTGAGTAAAAGTACTTTGGTTACAACGTTGCCCCAGTGCACAGTGGAGTCCCGGCACATTTTCAGGCCGCTGGTATCAGTCCCAGCCATCTGCCACAGGTCTGGTCTGTGGTGCACAGTGTTTCCTGTTTGGGTTTGTGTCCTCTGTGGGCATCTCCTGTTTAACATTTTAACTTTGGCTCATTTTACAGCGGTAGGCTCAAATGGATCTGTAGCAGGGATCTGTAGTCCTCATTAGAACCAAAACAAAAGAGAGGAGGCCACTTCTGGGAGTGGAGAGATAACTGATCCCAGGATCTCATTCAGCTGTTCCTTGAAGATAACCAGGGAGTCAGCTTTGTTCCACACACCCACAACCCTTAGGGTAAAGACATTCCTCCTTTTCTCTGTAGGAGCCACAGTGTCTTCTAGTTTTTATTCCACTTGAGCCCTCGATGTCTAAATTGGATCAGTCAGCTGCTTAATTACTAGAAGTTAACGAGCGTTAAAATCTGTGCTCACTGGTTTTATAAATGCCGCCTACAAAACCTGCAGAACTCTGAGTCTCTGGGGTTTGGAGCTATACTGTGGGTCTGTAGGATGGGCACGGTCATTATTTAAGATCCTGTTTATGATGCTATAATAACATTGTTATTTTTTATGACTCTTGCTTCAAAACCATAATGGGTGCAAAAGGTTTTGTATTAATACATAATACATTAATACATTTGTCATAGTTCACGGTGAGCGTTAGCGCTGGGGTGAAGGTAAGGGTTACATAAAGTAATAAGCATAGTAGAGAATCACATTTGTTCCTCTATGGTAGTGCATTATATTGTAATAAATATTCAGGTTTAATCATAATCCTAATATTTATTAAGTTGTCCTACCCTGAACTTATCTGGTGAATTTGTTTCATGACACATTTTGTATGCATGCATGCATAATTAATTTGTGTTCTCTCTGCAATGAGTGGCACAGAACAGACAACATTGTACAAGCAGAGAGTGCCAAGTGAAGCAGTCAGTTCAGCCTTGTGTAGAGGCCTCATGCATTTCTTACCAGCTGAGACTTTAACGTTGCAGTTTGGGAGGACTAGAGCTCTTTATGCATGTTTCATCAGGAGGCTCGCTTTCTGAGAAGTGGTATTTCAGGTGGTGTTAGTTGTTGTTGTGTCTCACACACCAGTGTGTGTGTGTGTGCAGATCTAAAGCTGCCTCATCAGCTTCAAAATTCAGGTCATAGGCAGCTCACAGGAACTTTACTGTCATATAAATAACAATTTTATAATGTGAGGAGGGGGACGAAAGATGCCTGTTGAAATATTAAAATTTAGGTTTTAGTATTTATTGATGTCCTGAAGGGTGATTGACCTGTCTTCCAGGGCTGCAACAGTGCAAGGACCTTGGAACACAGTTGAGGATCAAAGTTAAGAGCTTAAAAGACAGAAAGCAGGAGACACAGAGAGTAGTTAGGAGGTAGAAATGGCTCCCAAGCCACAGTGCACTCTGTGGGATACTTCAGGAAGTGGCTGGATTAGATTCATGAATCAATTAGCAACTAGCAAGCAAACGAGCAGGACAAGCATAATGGCCTCTCGATTGCAACTGAGCTGTGTTTCTGAAGTCGGTCTGATCGCAAGCCATTCCAGTGGTCTCTGGCAGCTTTTGGCAGATTTTCCCTGGAAAAGTGGAGGATGTTTCCTGGAGCACAGGGACTGACAAAGTCTTGTAAATAAGACAAGGCCAGATTGTAACGGATGGGGCTTGACTGTAGTCTTGGGTAGCTCTAACCACCTGTACAGACAGTGTGGACACAACAGTGAGATGTAGGACAGTGTGAACACAGAGCAGGGATGTGTAGACAGTGTGAACACGG